TACGTGCCGAGTATAGGACAAAATTTGCAGCTCTCCACCGGCAAGTGGTGGCGTCTCCATATGAGTGAAAAATTCTCGAGAGGGACGTTAAACAACATACAAACAAACAAACAAATTTTAGATTTTAAAAGACATGTAAAATGTCACATCATAAACCCGCATGATTTGGGAACTGATGTAGACACAGGACTGAATGAAGGAGATTTTGATAGATATGTTTCAAGTGAAATTGACAATTGGATTGCTTCTTTCTAATCTTTAATGTAGATGTTGTTATAGTATTGTGTTTAAAATTAAAGATATTTTATAAACAACAAATTGTCGAATGTCGTGTTTACGTGTTTACAAGCTCTTAACTGTTTTTTTTTTTTTTTTTTTTTTGTTTTTTGTTTTTTTTTTTCTATAAAAGATAGAAGATACAAGATATTTTGTTGATAATCCGAGGCCCAGGAAGATACATATGAAATAAAAAGTTCAATTTAAAACCTAATTCTTTTAACCAAAGTATATATCCTCTGCTTGATTCTCTTTTCTTTCCTTCATCATTGCCCTTGTCTGACTGTCTAATTATATATAAAATATTTCATATAGAAAGGAAAATACAAACTAAAAAATTGGTTCACGGACATTCATTTGCATTTTATTACTATATATCATACTTAGACAAATATTTCCTATATATACAGAACGTTGAAATTAATTATAGCTATCTATACTTCTGGAAATGGGGGGGGGGGGGGTTAAAGTTAGGAAACTATAACAAAGAAATGAATTTAAAAATATTTTTTTTGATAGTTGTGGTTTATTATCCATAATAATTACAGTTAATTCTGTTTTATCAAATTAATGCAGGTGTTTGACAAGCCCCCGACCCCCCCCCCCTCCCGGTTAGCCCCCGGACCGTTCCAACTTTTTTCTCCTAAATTATCTTTCAATGCCACATTTGTGACAAAATCCTTATATAAAGAGCGGGGTGGTAAGATAATTTATCAGAAAAAAATCAAAACGGAAGGGGGGTCGACAGGGAGTGTTCCTGTCCTCAAGCATCCGTGTTTAGCGCCCAGTTTAGTTTATATTGATATAGTGGTTCTCAGATTGCTTTTCAAAACAAGCGTCAAAAGATTCATCTGAGTATGATAAAATCCTCTAAAGTATCAATAGACTGTCCTTTCAATACCAATACCCATAAAATATCTGTATCAATTGATTCAGAAAGACATAAATTGCTCAAAATCATGAGAAATAAGCAAACTGGACATTCTGGTCATTTGATTTCATTCATAAATAGGATTTGAATCGGGGAAAAAGGAGGAGGTGATCTCTGTCCAATGGATTAATGAATTATGCTTGACACATGGAAAAATCAAAGATGTTGAATTATGAAATGAATGTATTCATTTTTGGTAATACATAAAAAAAACAGTACATACGACAGCAGTGCAACTAAAGGAACTCATAAAAAATCAATCTTCGTAACAACAGGTGCTTCGACATGAAGCTCTGGTTATATATACTGTGTAACTCAACCCATTTCCCTTTTTTGGTCTACGGTACAAATTATCGAGCCGGGTATTTTTGTCTTATGTTAATTCATTTCGATCATTAATTACAAGAAGAAGACCATGAAAGCCTCAATGAGTCTTTTTGGATTACCCATTAAAAATATTGCATGCAAATTCTTTTGTTAAAGTGATCTAATAATTAACATTTTTAATTGATGGACTACAATGATTATTTCTTAATCGTTAATAAATTCTCTTTAACTAGAGTTTAAAAATCCCATGTAATGACAGACCTGATCTAACAGGACTCCTGACAACGTTGGAACAGGTTCTTTTTTCAGTTTGACTTGTATATATATAGACGAAGTTTTGTTCAGATTTGTTTTACAATATGAATTAGTGTATAAAAATAACTAATCATTACAGTGAAACTGTACAATAAGGAGATCTTGAGGGCATACAGTTTTATATCTTTAAAACTAATGTTTTATAGTGTATATTCTTATTGGCGGATTTAAGGGGCCTGGGGGCACAACCCTATCACCTAACTCCTAAAATGTCTTAAAATTAGTTTACATGTATTCGTGCAAATATATATAAAAAGGAAAACTGTCGGAATATTGAGATGTCTTAATATCAGCGTCATTTTCCGTCTGAAGGTGTCTACTTTTGTCTGAAATCCTTTTAAACCCGAAAAAATGAAGAAGGTTCATTTTTTTTTACAGGTAAAAATTTGATAATGAATCTTTACAATGTCAATATTTAGTGACATCGTTCCTCATCACAAACTCTGACAAAAGTCGCGATTTTAAAGTCTGTCTAGAAAGCTACAGTTTCATTTGTTCCTAGTCTTGGATTGAGAGCCAAAATTGTGCGGAGAAGAAAATGTTACAGGGAACTTGGTTGGTCATTACAGTACGAGTCATTTGCATAGGAAACGGAAACACATTGTAGCATTCTATCTCTTATCTATATCTTGATCCGCAATTGCGCAATGAAAGACAGTGACTTTGGGAGCGTGACTCGAATCTGAGAAATATAAGTAGATAGGCCCAAATTAGAGCCTAAAGACAAACAGATAAGTTTGACCAGACAGAATTTTTTCTGATAAGAAATTCTACGCATTATTTATGCTAAAATGTGTTTTCTTTGCAGGTGGGAGTGTAACTAGTACTATGAATTCTAATTTTCTGTATAAATCTAGTTTTAAAATCTAAAAGAAGAGGCCCATGGGCCACATAGCTCACTTAAGCAAATTGACTAGGAAAAAACGGAAATCAGTTCAGTATCTCGGAGGGCATGATTTGTTCAAACTACACTGACTAAGGATGCCTACATATTTTTAAGCTAATCGCAGGTTTAGAAGATTTTTAAAGAAAATTTCCTACAATGTACACGTTTGATCTTCTATTGTTGCCCGCGCTCTTCCCCCGGGGCATGATTTGAACAAACTTGAACCTACACTCCACATCAATATGACTAATCATGACATTGCTGGATGAAGATTTTTAAAGATTTCTTTTAAATATTACAGTGTACTTTCAAAACCTTAATTGCCTAATGTGGCCCCACCCTCACCCTGGGAGTGACAATTTGAACAAACTTGGATCTACACTTCCTAAGGATGCTTTCATACAAATATGACCATATATGGTTTTGTTCTTCTTGAGAAGAGGATTTTTAAATTGTGTTACATGTGTGTTTTCCTAGAATGTAAAACTGTCATCGGCCATTGTGGCCCTGCCCTATCGTCTTATTAGAACAAATTCAAATCTACAATTAGTTAAGGATGCTTCCACATTAACATGACCAATAGTGGCTTTGCTGTCTTGAAATAAAGAATTTTATAGTTCCTTCCTCTATATTCCTATGTAAAAAGTTGATCGCCCATTGTAACCCCACCCTACCCCCGATGATTTTGATTCGAAGGAATTTGAATCAATACTACCTCAGGATGCTCTCACATTAAAACATGTATAATTCATGGCTTCGCTGGTTTTGAGAAGATTTTCAAAGAATTTTCCTCTGTTTTCTTGTCTAACATTCTGATCGCCCATTGTAGCAGCATGTGAGTCATGATTTATAAACATAAACCTACTTTACTGTTGTGGATTTGTATCCCTGTTGTATCTGCATAGATTTAATCATAATGATAAAACATTTCTATAAATCTAGATCAATATGATAAGCATAATAAAGAATGTCGGTTACTATGGCATTCCAAATGGCCCATGTTTGTAAATCATTTTTTTTTTGGAGTTGATCATGCATTAGCGAATCCAAAATATTGAAAGCATTATTCAAGGAGACATACATGAATTATAAATCTCATAAAAAGGAACTCATATTAAAGTAGAGTTGAAATCATTTTATTTCAAGTGTGAAAGTACATGAATGTACACACTACGTAGCCTGATGATTTACATCCATTTTCTTCGTATATATTTCATGAAAAAGAATCACATTTTATAGTAAATATACAGTATATACTTATATTTTGCCTACTTTTACTTTTGATAAGCTCTTATAACACTGGACTAAGTTGAAAATATACTTTACATCCTTAAGTAAATTGACACAGACAAAACAAAATACATCAAACTTTGCCTTGCTATAAAATGATTTTTAATTGATTACATTTGAACGAAAAACATCGAAGTGGACTTCCGTTTGCAGCATATCTTTTTTATATATTTTTTTTTTATCAGAAGACATGGCCGTAGGAACGGGGGGGCACGGGGGGGGGGCGTGCCCCCAATGATTTTGCCGACATTATAGAATACTATAGAAAACTTAGCTACTATATGCTTGTGCCCCCTCAATAATAACGTCCGATGACCCCCCCTTTTTTTTTTTTTTTTTTTTGCTTGTCAAGGAATTTTTGGTAGGTGATAGTGCCCCCAGTTGAAAATGAAAATGTTTGGCTGTGCTCCTCCCCCCCCCCCCCTCAAACTGAAATTGCTTCCTACGGGCCTGGAAGACAAGATACTTTCCTTCCGTGCCTTTGTCATATGTTTGCATTTACATGTATTCACATTGCCCTTGGGCGTCTTCTGAAATAAAGTTTGATAAAACGATGACATTCTAACAACCAGACTATGTTCTATTGTTTTAAACCATAAAATACATCTTTTGTGTACAAGTACCCAGTACACGGACACCAACAGACATTCTATACAACATATTTCAGATAAACATGATTTAAGTTAAAAAAGTTTTGTTAACGAGGGTAAGCTCAAAGCACTTAGTTGAATGAACATTCGAACTAAATATATCTACAGTGTTGCAGAGGTATGCTATGACTATTTTACAAGTGTTTAAATACCTAGCTATAAGGTAATAATGTGAACTCTTCAGTTCTGAAAGAAAGATACGAATAATTCACTGAATCTATCATCGATTTAATTTGTCTGTCAGTTTTTTGTCAGTTTATCATTTATTTCCCAATGTAACGAATTTGAAGCTCTTGAACGACACGATTTTGCACGATCCTTAAACAAACTCTTTGAGATTACTCATGTAGTTATATTGAAAACTTTATAGCAACTTGTCCAAAATTGATTTTAAAAAAATAGGAAATATATACGTGCTATTATAAAGTTTGGAGAATACACGAGACACTCATTCCGTCCAAGAATTGGTATAGAGGAGATGTTTTTAATGTTATTATTTTGCGATCATCTACATTTTCCAATATCTCGTCAGCTCTTTTGTATTGATGAAATGCTGATCAATGATTGAATGCAAAGGACAAATCATTTCTTGATCATCTTTTGGAATATCTTCCTCTGAAAGGAAATGGCCTTTGATATCCATGGCAAGTAGTTGTGTATCGTCCAACCGACACCTAAAGCCTCTTGCAAACAACAGCTTTCTGTGAAATTTTCCTGCAAAATCCTTTAATATATTTTCTACCCTTTCTTGAATTAGTTGAGTTTTATCCCTTTCCAAAATACAACCTGGCTTAGGGTGAAATATTTGAAGTTGTATAGATTCTTTTGTGACGGATAAAACGACAGTGTATCCAGCAAATGAAAATAAAGTAGCGTTTTTGTAGAGGCATGGTGTGTCGTGCGTTTTAAGCACTTTCCAATTTTTTTCTTGCATACAAGCGACAACAAGACGAAAAAAGAAGAAAAAAGGTAGAAATGTAAATTGATAAATGAGAACAGATGATTTACTTTCCGATCGACGGATAAGATCTGGGACGACTGACTCCATTTCTTTTCGGTTCATGCATGGAACATAATGGGATTCTTTACCAACAACCAGTAAACCAAGCCTTTGCATAAAATTGAGAAGTGACTCCTGATGATATTCAAGGTACCGTTCTTCATGCTTAAAAGCGCCCAGAAAAATTTCGTATTTCTCATTCTCTCTTTTCGGTCTTTCAAGTAGTTCTTCGTCCTTACGTTTCCAAATCTTTTCTAGAAGTTTGTTTCTCAAATTTCCACTTACATAATATTCATCCCAGTCCTCCTCGTTCCCAGGTATACCCTCGAAATGTAGTTTGTCTGTGATGATATGTTTAAAGGCGTCAATAAACCATTGGATATCAATAATCAAGCGTTCACTGAGACCAGCTTCGTTGAAATAGAGAACTTTCCCAGCATCATGGTAGTATCGTAGCATATCTAGCTTCTCTTTTGATGATTCATTTGAGCTTTTCTGATAATCAGCAGTAGTCTCTGCAACCTTTGTTGTTATTTTAGAGATGTCAATAATTCGCTTTGAATGTTTTGTCTGGTTGATTTCTATTTGAAAGAAAAACCATTCTTTCGGAATACTTTCTTTCCATCGTTGATGACAAGCGATGTCGTAAAAGCTTCTTTCTAAATCATAAAGAGGTAAAGATAGCTGTGTACAATGAAATCTATCTTTTCTGATGTACTGTGATAAATTAGATCGCTTAGGAAGCTGATTTCGTAGACTCTCCATAAGTTCATCCTTGTCCTGTAATAATAAAACCTGGTTACCGGTCAATTTAATTTTCTTTTATATAGACTGACTCTTTTTTTATCTTTTCCAGATGAAATTAATTAGCCGTCTATATATCTCGTCTTAAGATTTACCAGTTTTTTTTTTCCGAACACAAGTACAATTTCAAGCTTATTACACAAAATCATCCATGATTAATGTCCAAAATCGCAAAACAACGAGGAATCTTATTGTTAAGATAAATTTAAGATAACTTGTTTGATAAAATGTCAAGAGTTTCCTTAGATATGCTCACTTTGAACTGTCTGCTTCCTTCCTCCCAATGAGTCGCTACTATTAGAACTACAGGCCTTGGGTCGTTTTCATTGTCGGAACCACAGTAGGTATGTATAGACTTCAGCCAGAATACAAAGTAGTCTAAAATATATTAAATGCAAATATTCCAAATAAAGTTAAAATAAGAAGTTAAAATACATTATTGAGTTTTTAATACAAAAAGTTATCAATAGATATGCAGTCGCAATTTAAGGACCTAGTCTATAGCTAGGACCTAAAGTATGAAACCAGAAGAATTAATTCGATAATTTTGGTACAGATTTGATGAATTATTATCTATTATCTATGCATAAAATGTATAGTACTCTATGTGTCTGTTTATGCTGAAATCAACTTAAGTACTATTTATGTCTTTATTGATTGATGATTGTATATTGTTTTAGGTCCCATTCGAGAATTTTTCACTCATATAGAGACGTCACCATATACCGGTGAAGGGCTTCAAATTTTGACCTTTACTCGGCCATTGAGCAGTGAGGGATCTTTATCGTGCCAAAGCCTGCCGTGAAACGGGGCCTCGGTTTTTAAGGTCTCATCCAAAGGACCCGCAACTTTCACTTCTAAGTGCCGAGCGCATAGTGAAAGAACAGTTGCTACCCATTTTTTATCGACTTAGGTCAGTCGCGGCCGAGATTCGAACTCACGACCCCCCCCCCCCCCCCGGTCACGGAGCGAGTGTCTTTATTGACAATAATTGTCAAATTTGGTTATTGTTATTTTTGGGGATCCAAAGTACCTCACATAGTGACTTTATACATATAAGTGGTTCATTTATTTAAGGGTGAATTGTCAACTGCATTGTTTAGACGCATATATATGTATATTCTCAAGTATCACTATTATATGTACTTTTTTTAGAAATCATTGACAATGAAATAAACAACCTAGCTTATGCATTATACTTCGCAGCGTTGAGATGGCAAGGGAAGATGACTTCTTAATTTTTTGCCAGATTTTATTTAAAATAGTAATATAATTAGTCACTTTGGTATTATCGGTATATTGATAACTTTAGGTAAGATTTTTCCCCCCAAATATATCGACTGTCATAGGAAAAGTTTGAACTTCTTTTGTAGCATTTTATATGTATTAGCAATAGTTCAACCTTGTACTGATAATATTACTTGTATAGTATACGTAGAACTGGATAAGAGTAGAGATTTCCATGCCCTGAACAAAATCATGTCAAGAGAGGTTTATAATTTTTATGTTTTATTTGCATCTATGCAAACAAAGAGAGAAAGGAACGTGTTTTGTTTTTCAAGTCGCAACTAGTGAAACAGTATATGAATCTTTTTTTATTTAAAAAAAAATGTGATCATCACATCGACGAATCAAATTTATTTCGTACACACCAAGAGAGTTTATGCAATATATATTTCATACCTAATAATAAAATTAAGTTTACGGACATAGAAAAGTTTGTCGATCTTACACATTTTATTGAAGAGTAGCAATTTCTATTGTTTTCTTAGATCAGAATTGTGGAAGAATTGGTGTTATAAACATAGGTAATCAAAGATTACGAAGCTCACCTCGACGAATGTTATCTACATGTAAGGCAAATTTCACATCATATTTTTTTTCTAGTTAGGGTACATCCCAAGATCAATATCCATGCAAGTTTGATTTAATTATAGACCTGCTCAAAAAACTTTTGACCTGTTTAGTAATCAAGAAAATTTTGGTCAGTTCCAACATCCAAAGCAAGTCTGGAAGTTTTCATCCTTAGATGCACCATCTATGCAAGTCTAATCATAACCACATGATAACAGGCCATAATATTATATAGCTACTCCAAAAAAATTACCCTGGTCATTCATCTGGAAAATGTACGTCAGATTCAGAATCCAAGACAAGTCTGGAAGTGTCCATCCCTAGATACATCATCCATGCTAATTTGGTTAAAATATGGCTAAAATTCACTCATGTGGAAAATCTAGGTCAGATCCAGCATTCAAAGCAGGTTGGTTAGTGTACATCCCTAGATGCATCATCCATGAAAGTTTGGTCCAGGTAGGGCTTATAGTTACTTGGGAACGAGACTACTCCTAAATCTAAACCTGGTCACTCATCTGGAAAATCTAGGTCAGACCCAGCATCCGAAGCAAGTGTGGTAGTGTCCATCCCTAGATGCATCATCCATGCAAGTTTGGTCCAGGTAGGCTTATAGTTACTTGGGAATGGACCTGCTCCTAAAACTTTAACCTGGTCACTCATCCAGAAAATCTAGGTCAGATCCAGCATCCGAAGGAAGTGTGGCCATGTCCATCCCTAGATGCATCATCCATGCAAGTTTTGTCAAGGTAGGGCTTATAGTTACTTGGGAATGGACCTGCTCCTAAAAATTTAATCTGGTCACTCATCCAGAAAATCTAGGTCAGATCCAGCATCCGTAGCAAGTGTGGTAGTGTCCATCCCTAGATGCATCATCCATGCAAGTTTGGACAAGGTAGGGCTTATAGTTACTTGGGAATGGGACCTGCTCCTAAAACTTTAACCTGGTCACTCATCCAGAAAATCTAGGTCAGATCCAGCATCCGAAGCAAGTGTGGTAGTGTCCATCCCTAGATGCATCATCCATGCAAGTTTGGTCCAGGTAGGGCTTATAGTTACTTGGGAATGGGACCTGCTCCTAAAACTTTAACCTGGTCACTCATCTGGAAAATCTAGGTCAGATCCAGCATCCGAAGCAAGTGTGGTAGTGTCCATCCCTAGATGCATCATCCATGCAAGTTTGGACAAGGTAGGGCTTATAGTTACTTGGGAATGGGACCTGCTCCTAAAACTTTAACCTGGTCACTCATCCAGAAAATCTAGGTCAGATCCAGCATCCGAAGCAAGTGTGGTAGTGTCCATCCCTAGATGCATCATCCATGCAAGTTTGATCCAGGTAGGGCTTATAGTTACTTGGGAATGGGACCTGCTCCTAAAACTTTAACCTGGTCACTCATCCGGAAATCTAGGTCAGATCCAGCATCCGAAGCAAGTGTGGTAGTGTCCATCCCTAGATGCATCATCCATGCAAGTTTGATCCAGGTAGGGCTTATAGTTACTTGGGAATGGACCTGCTCCTAAAACTTTAACCTGGTCACTCATCTGAAAAATCTAGGTCAGATCCAGCATCCGAAGCAAGTTTGGTAGTGTCCATCCCTAGATGCATCATCCATGCAAGTTTGGTCCAGGTAGGGCTTATAGTTACTTGGGAATGGGACTTGATCCTAAAACTTTAACCTGGGACGCCGACGCTAACGCCGACGCCGACGCCGACACCGACGCCGACGCCGGGGGTATAGCATAAGCTCATCTCGACTTCGTCGAGGTGAGCTAAAAATCCGTTCGTGTAAAAAAAAACAAACCCTGAAATATATCATATATTCTATTTATAGTCCCTATATAGTCTATACAAGCACAATCGGTTCATAACATTACATATACATATGATTTGATGCCATATTCCCCAGAGGGTTAGTAAGCCTCCATCGGCGATTGTGACTCAAAAAAAAATTTGCAAATAAGACTATCGCCTCGCTCAATATCGATATTTTTTTCTGGTGAACATCAAACCATGTTAACCACCGAAAGAGTCCACAATTGTATAATATGTGAAATAAGAAACGAGTATTTTTTGGATAGAAGAATGATATTTGTTTTGAATTTAACTCGACAAATAAACAATAGAATTTTGAAGAAAAAAAAAACCTAACCGTTTGAAGAAGACAAAACCTGATGATTTTCTGAAATATGCCATTCATACATTAGAACTATCCAAATTGATAAGGAATGCAGGGGTAGCCTGTGAGGTGGGGGAGTCGGGAAATGTCTGGTACTGCATCGGTAGCCCAAAATTAAAGAGAAAGTGGAAACGAAGCAGAGGAGTTACAGGAGACTTAAATATATATATATATATATATATATATATATATATATATATATATATATATATATATATATATATATATATATATATATATATATATATTCCGACGAGTGTGAGTCTATATGTAATCTCATACTATATAGTCTGCTTTATTTGTCTTATCAAAAGTTTAATATTATATAGTAGTTTATATTAAGTTTTATGCCCCCTTTTACAAGTGAAATTTGAGGGGACTATAGGTTCCCTCAATTTAATTAAAATCAGACTTCTTAGACCTGCATTCTTCAAAAGAAGCTTCTTGTGCCGAGTGTATATGACGCAGACCTAAGAAGTCGGAATTTAATTTGATATAGGTTTCCTCTCTGTCTATCTGTCCCACTTTGTTGTTATTCTGAACTTTTTTCTCTACAGGGTTACAGATATAAAACTGAATTTGATATGTGAGTGTAGATTTAGAAGTCATTTATAAAACAAGATTGTATTTCTTTCCTCTCACAAATTTCTTGCTTAAAGGTAAAAAAAAAATAGCGTTAACGGAAAGCTTCATTCGATCATTTTGAATGAATAATGTGCTTACAAAGACGTATAGAAAAAAAAAGAACCGATGGGAAATGGACAGAACAGTCAATAGTTATACATCCTCTTCTGACTTGTTTCAGTACCAAATCTGCATGTTTGTAAACAGTTAAAATAATTGACTGTTCACATGCTCATAATGAAATTACGTTTGAAAATTTCGAGACATGGAGCAAAATGAAAAAAAAACGTGTTTTCTGTAACAATACATGTAATACCTCCATATGTCCATCCAGAGAAAACGCTTCCATCTTGATCACATACACTTTTATCCACCTTCTGGTCAAGACATTTAGAAGCGTCCAACACCACAACATAGAAAGCTCTCCTGGTCAGGTAAATCTGGTGACAGGCGTAGTATGCACACTGTCCTCCAAAGTCAAAGAAACTCAATGTTTTTGCATCCAGATTTTTAGCATTATTTTCTAAATTTTTTTGGTCTTCGTATTTTCTCCTTGCTGAAAAAAATGACCAATAACATAACGCAGTATTGCTTGATGGAATAAAAATACTACAGGCATCATTTTTGTTACACAAGCAAGCATAAGAAAAAAAAATATATTCATATTCAGCAAACAATAAAATACTAGTATTATATATATGATCAGCATTACTAACATTCGAAAAAGCACAACTTAGATTCAGTCAATGTTTATGCTAGACATTGAAAGAAAAAACATTTCACATAATCATACTTTTTATATGTAGAAATATAAGTACAAATTAAATCATTCGTAATTTTTACGAAAATGCTTATTGATACGCATTCCAATTGTGAATTTATGTTTTATTTTTAATATGTGCTCTTCTTCTTTAATGGTGGAAAATATAAAATAATTTACTTAAATTGTATAACCTTTTAATGAATTTGTTTCATCACATAATTCAAATATTTCCTCATGCACCTCCAATCCCTCAGTAGATTTAACTTCCTTAATCTCCTCTTCACTACAACCAAGGAGACGTTTAAGTAGCGTAGTTTTCCCCGCCCCAGCACATCCTACAATCATCCCCCGGGCATGGTGGACCGTCTGTGTTCCTCTCTTAGCGTACTCCACATACCGCTCTCTGGCCTCCTGGTCCCATTTCAGTATTTCTCTAGGGACTCCCACTGTATCATTAAAAAAAAAATCAGCAATATAAACTAATAGAGCAGTGAATCAGAGCTTAAGTGGATTATATAAATTATAATATTTGTCACAAAACAGTGGCATATGATAGCTGAATTCTTAAAACTTAATTTCCAATTTAAAGCGAAATAATTTGAGTACCTAAAATTATATATATAATTTCGTTTAACATAACTTCCTCTTAATTGCTCTGCTTTATTTTGTTTGTATGTTCTACAAATTGGCCATATTTGTATTGTTTGGTGTCATTTATCTTCCCGTGATGTTGTGGCCAAGTGCGTATTATAACATTTTTTTCCCCATTTTTTTCCCCTCTTTGTGGTCTGTTTAAGTAGCTTTTTACAACAAACCAATACCACAACATTTTGTGCACGATCAATTAAAAAAAAAAAAATAACTATGGAGGTTCCAACACCCATTTCAAACTGAAACATTATACTTTAATGATATTGACTTCTTATCCTTTGAATCAACGTACTTCCATTGCAAAGTCTAATTCATAACTGCTGTAGTTTGTTTTGTCCTTTACCCTTGTTTCAAATCATACAAGCTTATGCAATGACTTGAAAAATCAGTGAACCAGTGATAAAACTAGATTTTTTTGACCGGTACTAAATCTCTCGTTAAGTAAGGATGTAAAAATTTTTGAATGACAACTTTTCAGTGTAATCCCTCTAAAATTGTTATAGTCATTCATATTTCTCTTTTTGAAAATTGGTGTTATGATACCTTCTGACCAGCTTTTAGGAAAAACGCCTGATGATAAAAATAACATAATAAATGAATGCACTGGATATACTATGAAAATATTATTCTCAATAAAATATTCATTTAATAGATTGTCAAGTTTGATAACACGAGTTATCTCCTCTGCTGTTATTAGGCATGCAGAATTGTCTATTTCTAAGGGTGTCGACGGGAATGTATTGAAAGTTGACTTGAAGACAGTTCTTTAAAGTAGAAATCCGACAGATCCGGTCCTTGTGACACGCTTCCTTTCTTTTTTGCGGAAAATGCGATAGAATTCTTTCGGATTATTCTTCCTTAATTCTGATTTCCATTTGATCTCCGCGGTAACGGAAATACTCTCATTTAACTTTTCTTTTATACCTTTCATAATTTTCCTTAAAGGTCACAATACATTTCTGTAAAAATGAGTCCGTGAGCTATTAAACAACTTTAAAGTTTTACATAACTTCGTGCATTTGAAATCAAACCAAGGTTTATTGTTGTATTAACGAAAATCAAACCATACATACATGTAAAAGGAAGATATATCGGCGAAGATGCTAAACTAGTACTTGACGTTCTTGAATACTGTGAAACAGAAAATTCGAATGGCATTTTACTTATGTACTTTTCTTAGACTTTAAAAAAAGCATCTGTCTCAGTTAAATGGAATATTCTTTTTCAAGTCTTACAAAAAATTAATATTGGTAATAGATTTATAAAGTGGACAAAAATTTTATAGACAAGCCCAATGTTTAAGATGAAAAACAACGGTTGGCTCTCCAAAACTTGCGAAATGACAGAAGGCATTCGGCAAGGATTTCCTATTTTCGCTCTCATACCTTTTTGTCCCAGAAATTTTGGCTATTAAGGATACATAACACAAAAAAACTTTTGATGCATAGATTGATAAAACATCCTTTGACTGATTTTGAATAGAAATGACATGCATAACAAATCCCTAAAATATAAAGAAATCGTAAGATTTCTTTGGTGCTTAGATAAGCAACTTTTTGCTGTTTTCTATGTAATTCTATACTAATATTTTTTTCACATTATGACCAAATCTTACAAAATTCTCCAACTTTACCTGGCAAACATTATTCAGGTTACCTATTTGAATATAAATCTATAAGAAATATCACGGATTTCTGAAAAAAAGATTTAGTTTGTGTTATTTATCCTTAAGATAAAATGTGATAAAGATATAAAAGGTATAAAAATCAATAATTGCGAAAATAAAAAAACAACATGCGGACGATTTAACTGAAGCTTTAAAAGACGAAATATCTATGAAACGTACTCTGGATAAATTACAAGAATTTTGTGAACATGCGGGATGAAAAATAAACATACAGTGTACATACATGTAAAATAGAATGCATTCTGTTAGGGGAACTAAAAACATGTATAATGAACTCTACGGCATAAAAAAATCACGAATAAAGCATAAAGATGCGTAGGAATTTTCATTGGACACGATGAGGAAGAATGTTACACTAAAATTGGGATGAAAATCTATCACGATATTGAGAAACTTTTTTGAATCCTGGAAAAGAAGAAAATTGCTATATCTTAACTTACATGTTTACAGACAGAATAGAATGAACTAAAATGGGATTTCCATGCGTAAAAAAAAGAAGAAAATATTGAATTATACGACATTCTATGCGGAAATTTTTAATAAATAACATTTTTACTATTTAGTACATGTATCTGTTCATAATTCTGTGTAAGTATTTAACATTACATAATCCAAACGCTACATCTAACACATTGTCAGGTAGAGATATATGTACTGTAGTACATGTATGTAGCTACAAAGATATTTCTTTTCTGAGCAATTTGCAAATACTTCTTTTTTGACTAATACATTATTAATTTCAATATTAAAAGGTAGTCTCCATACATGTATATTTTTTGACTCCATACATATCTTTAGAGAGAGAGAGAGAGAGAGCACTCAATGTACATATGCAAACATATGCACGTTCTTTAAAGTGCTTCTTTATTCTGAAAAATACCTTGTAAAAATGGAATGAACCACTTTGATTTTATTCCATACTTCATCATATCGATATGCACAATATATTAGACCAACCCAAGCGTGTGGCGTCGTTTTTTTTTTTTTCAGATTAATACGCCGGGGTTATTATTGACAAGAAAAACAAGTCTCCCAATAAAATTACAACCATTCGCAGTTCAAAATAAAATTTTAAAAAATGATAATAATAAAAGAACCCTTCTTTGATACAGTAACATGGAAATTTGAACCAACTACAACAACAACTGGGGGGGGGGGGCTTTATAAGTGTATATAAATTATTCCATACAATATATCAATTAACAGCAAGAAAACTTTCTCAGAAAAAATTAAGGGGGCGGGGCTACTTCCCCTCTCCGCTTTGATTCTACTCCTTAATGATAAATTATATAGATAACTGATGGTATGCAAAAACTGGTAAAACGTAGGTTTCGACATCCCGCATTAGAAACTATTAGGCATAAACACTCAAACTACATGTAATTTTTTAAAGCTTTTTGTATCCTTTTTATGCCCCCGGATCGAAAGATCCCGGGGGTATATTGTTTTTGTCCTGTCTGTCTGTTTGTCTGTTTGTCCGTTTGTTTGTCTGTTTGTCCGTTTGTCTGTTTGTCTGTTGTCAACTTTAACCTTGCCCATAACTTTTGATTGGTTGGAGCTATGACTTTCATATTTCACATGTGTATTCCTTGTGACAAGACCTTTCTTTGGGTACCATCATATTTGACCTTTTGACCTTGACCTTGACCTACTTTTCAAAAACTTCAACCTTGGCCATAACTTTTGAACAGTTGGTGCTTAGGTTTCAAACTTCACATGTGCACATGTATTCCTTGTGACAAGACCTTCCTCTCGATATCAACCACTTTGATCCTGTGACCTTGACCTAGGAGTTTGACCTACTTTTGAAAAACTTTAACCTTGGCCATAACTTTTGAATGATTGGAGCTAGGGCTTTCATACTTCACATATGTAATCCTTGCGACAAGACCTTCCTTTGGATACCAACCACCACTTTGACCTTTTGACCTTGACCTAGGAGTTTGACCTACTTTTGAAAAACTTTAACCTTGGCCATAAATTTTAAAAAAAATTGATGCTAGGGCTTTCATACTTCACATATGTAATCCTTGTGACAAGACCTTCCTTTGGATACCAACCACTTTGACCCTTTGATCTTGACCTAGGAGTTTGACCTACTTTTGATAAACTTTAACCTTCGCAATAACTTTTGAATGGTTGGTGCTAGGGCTTTCATACTTCACATATGTAATCCTTGTGACAAGATTTTCCTTTGGATACCAACCACTTTGACCTTGACCTTGACGTTTGACTTTTATTTAAAAAACTTTAACCTTCGCCATAACTTTTGAACAGTTGTATCAAGGTCTTTCAAATTTCACAGATGTATTCCTCGAGACGAGACCTTTCTTTGGGTATCAACATTTTTTATCTTTTGGCCTGAATTTTGACTTGCATTTGAAGAAACTTTAACCTTCGCCATAAGCTGCCATACGGGGGCATCAGTGTTTCACAAACACATGCATCTTGTTTCAGATTATTTCCGTATCCATTGTATTAAGAAAGCTCAAATTGCAACTTTTTAGCGGTGCAATTTAATGATCCCGGAAATTATTTGCGCGAAAGTGCTGCTGAATTTCAAAGTACGAAATAATTGCTAAACAAGATGTGTTTGTGAAACACCGATGCCCCCGTATGGCAGCTTATGGCGAAGGTTAAAGTTTCTTCTAATGCAAGTCAAAATTCAGGCCAAAAGATAAAAAATGTTGATACCCAAAGAAAGGTCTTGTCTCGAGGAATACACCTGTGAAATTTGAAAGACCTAGATACAACTGTTCAAAAGTTATGGCGAAGATTAAAGTTTTTTAAATAAAAGTCAAACATCAAGGTCAAAGTGGTTGGTATCCGAAGGAAGATCTTGTCACAAGGATTACATATGTGAAGTATGAAAGCCCTAGCACCAACCATTCAAAAGTTATGGCCAAGGTTAAAGTTTTTCAAAAGTAGGTCAAACTCCTAGGTGAAGGTCAAAGGGTCAAAGTGGTTGGTATCCAAAGGAAGGTCTTGTCACAAGAAATACATATGTGAAGTATGAAAGCCCTAGCATCAACCATTCAAAATTTATGGCCAAGGTTAAAGTTTTTCAAAAGTAGGTCAAACTCCTAGGTCAAGGTCAAAAGGTCAAAATGGTGGTTGGTATCCAAAGGAAGGTCTTGTCACAAGGATTACATATGTGAAGTATGAAAGCCCTAGCTCCAACCAATCAAAAGTTACGGCCAAGGTTAAAGTTTTTCAAAATAGGTCAAACTCCTAGGTGAAGGTCAAAGGGTCAAAGTGGTTGGTATCCAAAGGAAGGTCTTGGCACAAGGAATACACATGTGAAGTTTGAAAGCCCTAGCATCAACCATTCAAAAGTTATGGCCAAGGTTAAAGTTTTTCAAAAGTAGGTCAAACTCCAAGGTCAAGGTCAAAAGGTCAAGTTGTTGGTATCCAAAGGAAGGCCTTGTCACAAAGAATACACATGTGAAGTTTGAAACCCCAAGCACCAACTGTTCAGAAGTTATGGCCAAGGTTAAAGTCTCATAAAATTTTGCAAAAGTGGGTCAAACTCCAAGGTCAAGGTCAAAAGGTCAAATATGATGGTACCCAAAAAAAGGTCTTGTCACAAAGAATACACATGTGAAATATGGAATTCATAGCTCCAACCAATCAAAAGTTATGGGCAAGGTTAAAGTTGACAACAGACAGACAGACAAACAGACAAACGGACAAACAGATAAACAGACAAACAGACAGACAGGACAAAAACAATATACCACCGGGATCTTTCGATCCGAGGGCATAAAAATTGTATTGATGATTTTTTATGAATGAATTTAACTTTTTGAAACAATTTAAAACATCATGGCGTGCCTGGATTTTTTTTTCCATTAGAATTCATCGGTGATACAGGGAAAACATGGAGTTTTATTTGGGTTGGTTCTCCCTTTTTCTCCAGGACATATGTGTAGTTTTCTTATATTTTAATGTACAAATGCTTTATATCTTTTATTATTTGACCTAGAATATTAAATATCAAAAGAATGCCTAGTGTGGAGTTGTACAGGTAGAATATTTTCGACTGAATTTAATCCGTTCCCAGATCCTGTCCAGACCCCCCCCCCCCCCCCATCCCTTTTCGACATTACTTGATCTGCTCTTAGAGAACAAAGCCAACTTTCCTTCAATGTATTTATTGACAATTTAATTACTTGGAAGAAGAAATCAAATATTGTCTCAAGTTTATATAGTTATTAAGGTTATTTGAATACTTTTAAGAATATTTTGAAACTGAATTTCCCGCACGCGACGTCATTACGTCTTTAATGAGTAACGTCAACGTTGTTTTGAAGCGCCTTACTAATATGCCCATAAAGTAGTGAAAAAAAATGAGATAATTTTAAAAGTTGTGTATATTTGCATTCAGAAACAGTCGGGCTATCAATATTTCAAAAAATTCATTGTGTGAAATTTTCACCTTACGTGTCCTTTTCTCTTGACGGCAGTCATATATCAATGTTTGTTTACATTTAAATAAAACTAATAATACAAGAATTGCAGCTTACTTTACATGTCTGGGCGTTACATTTCAGTTAACAATGACATTTTTAAGAATTAGATACACCCCGCTTCCTTGATAAAACTTTTACCATTTACATAACACAACAATAATATGTGGCTCAATTAAGTACAGCATACATATAGCAGGCTTTTTAAGTTCATGGGCCATTTTTGAATTAAATATGTCTTTTCTATGCATGTAAAGCAGTGATACGAGGGTTGTCCGTAAAGTTCGTGGACAAGCTAAAATTTAAATAAAAGTTGCGTCATAGATATTTACCATTAGTATATTTATAATCCTTTACTATATGTGAATTACAAAATGAAAAATTTTATTCAATTTTAAGTGCATGATTACAATTATGACTTCATTTTTAGACTTGGGATGGTGACCCGGAGCACAACAAAGTTTCAATTAAAAAGTTATTTATCACTTTATACATTTCATTTATATTCTGTAAAATTCCGCGGAAATTTGGATTGTTTTTACAGTATAAGGTTGACAAAAGATATAACGTCAAACCTGTAAAATTTGAACGTTCAAAGTTTCGAAATGGCAGAGAAATCAAGGTCAGAGTTTATTAAGACAGGATCGTCATTGTTCGAAAAAGGGACGTTTTCAAAAAAGGTGGAGCAGAGAGTTGTGATAAAATTTTGTGTAGACATCGAAAAAACACCAATAGAGACCCATAAATTCCTTAAACAGTCGGGAAATCATAGTATAGTAATCTATTCTTTAGTGTTTAAGTGGCACAGGACTGAGATTTTCGGACGGAAGAGACAGTTTACTAGATGACATGCGTGAAGGAAGACCATCTTTTCGAGATTGTAGTGCTGTAAAAAATGAAGTTCTTAACGTGACTTTGCCGTATTTCCGTACATGAAGTCTTTTTACGCGGACAGAGGTTTGATGATTTGCAGGATCTGCAATAGGAAGTGTGCTAAATATTATTTCACGTATGAAACCAGAACAGTTTGTGCACATTTTTGATAACTGGTTCAAGCGACATAAGAAATGTGTTGAGTTATACGGTGACTACGTTAAGAAAACTTAAATGTATTTAGCTTTTGACGTAGAGTAACGTCAAGGATTTTTGTTTTAATGCTCCGGGTATGAGTGTGTATCTTTTTTGTATCTGATAAATTTTAACTATTTGTGCCTTGTTTGTGATTAAAACCTGCACATTAATAAACTGAAACATGAATTTAATGAAAATAATAATTTCAAATATTTTATCAATGTTTGTCAGTAATTATCATTGTTGTCCACGAACTTTACGGACAACCCTCGTACACCATCATAGCATAAGTATTTAAATATGATGATTCAAATAACTTGGAAGTAGCTGTTATGCTTTACACAGATAATACCTTTCATGAGGTCGATCAATAGATATATCGACATCAAAGAAAAGCATATAGACCTATTTGTTATATGTTTTCTAAAATGGTTCATTTGTTACATTTCTTTAAGAAAGATTCTTCAAAATTTAAGGAAACAAATCTATTATTAGAAAGTACCGGTCAATCCGAGTATTCGCTGATTAACCACGTTTACTGCACACGAATTTTGATAAGTTGGAATGAGAGCCGACAGCGAATCACGTTCATTTTTAAAAGTTGCAAACATTTTACTAATCTATTACTAGAAAATACAGTTCTATCCGATTATATAATATTTATATTTAGAAAGACCTTGTATGTCGCCATTTGTATCCTTTGACACGTGATATCAAAGGACTGGATGAAAAACCTCATTACAATGTATAAAAATAAAATAAATGAATGCCACTTCTAACACATAGCGTATGAGGTTACAGCCATTGAAGGCTGTATACTTTTCGATTCATTCATACAAAAAAAGGTAATTAAAGAAACAATTCTCTTAATGTTATGGTAACCATACACATTTGTATTACATGTAGTAGAAAGGATAAAGGAACCTTTTTACATGTTATTCTTTTTACATAAACTACATGTATATATTTATAAAATTGTATCTATTTAGGTAAAAAAAAACCGCTAATAAACTTTAGAAAAATAATATTTTTAAAGCAATTCTACTCACAACGTTTACTGATCCTGTCATGAATCCCCCTGTCAGACACGGTACAGTGTGTGATGATGTCTAGCTGCAGTTTGTCTATGAAGAAGTTGTACATCATCTCCGGACTGGGTGGTACATACAGACATCTCTCTCCCTCACTCCTCTTATAAACCCAGGACCTGCAGTATTCTGAGATCACGTCACGTGACGCCGTGGTCAGGAAAAACTCCAGATCACTGTCCTCCACCAAACACTCCGTAACAAAGGCGGACATGACGTCATGTCGGATGTCGTCTGATGTAAAGGTTATCACACCATTATGTGTTTCTGTGATTCCACCAGGAAGATCTACCAAGCCGTCATCAGTGATATCAGTGAAATACCTGTCTCTGATTTTTTCCCTTGTGATTCTGTGTGATTGTTCATTGAGATTCAGTTGATATTTCTCAGTTAACAGTAAGCAGTACAGTAGACATCTGACTTTCGGTGAATAGGTATGGTATTTAGCTGAAATGAAAACAAAGATTTTTTTTTTTTTTTAGAATAAACAGCAATTCAGTCGGGATTAAAGAAATGTATATAATTACAACTATTGGCTGTCTATTTCTTTCTCTATATATAATTCATAATTAATCCTTTGCTTTTTTGGAATTTTACATCTTAATAAACGTTTTGCACGAAATTTGCTTTTATAAAATTTCTATTATGATCAATATATATAAATATTTAATTAGAAATTCCTTTATTATACAAAGAGTTAAAGATAAAAAAAATATTGCAAATTCATGGACAAAAATCGTGGATTTAAGGATGTACAATACCCAACCACCAAAAAACTCCTGTCGTTTATTTTTTTTTTCCCTTTAATTTATACAGGAATTTATACACTATATATGTATTCACATTTTGAAAAAAAAAAATTCTACCAGTACTATTTGGACAGGAAGCTCCAAAATTTACCTACCTTTGGAACGAGAAGGAAAAAAATCAACCAACAGATCATGATTTTTTTTTGGGGGGGGGGGGGGGGTCGGTAAGCCAAGTTGCTAAAATTTGTTAAACCATTGACTTAAGCATTAAAGCAAATTAAAATAATTTGGTAATGGAAAACATGATTATCATCTTGGTGTGATCTTTCGTTACGAAGGGGAGTTTTGTTTCCGCGTAGGCAGGTGGGACAGGTATTTGTGTTGGATACATTACATCATCGATATGCCGGTCTATCAATACTGATTGTCGGTATGCACTCTTCAACTAGAAAATTGCCGAATTAAACATGTTAAAGTAAAGTCGTAATTTTTTTTTACCAAGAAAAAGAAAACGGAACAGAAGAAAATATCAGTGGATAAAACTTATCAGACGATGGAAGAGATATGGATCTCTAATAAATGAACACACACGTGTACCTGATCATTGCACGTCGCATCCTGAATGACACACGAACTCTTTCCCTTATAATAATCTCAAAGAGCCCACTAACTTTTTGGGTGCAAAACACAGTTTTATGTATGACGTTTTCAGGACGTTACTTGATGAGCTCAGGGACAAGCAAAACTGACCCACATAAAGAAATAAAAAGGAGGCTTATTACATAGACTCCTACATGTATATATCGATGGAAAGATAAAATTTTAATTTTCATAAATATCTAAGTATAATACATCGATCAATTACAAATTGGGTGTATTTTACAGATGAAACATGAGGGATATTGGATAGTTTATACATCCATTTGCAGTACACCTAAATGCATTTTTAGCTCCCTTGATCAACAAACAGTGCAAAAATCTGACAATATAAGTTATATGCATTTCACAGAACAAAACCTAAGGTTTTCTTTTTATGTACTTTTAGGGTACGTTTTGTAGTTTTTGAAAACGTTACCTGCTACTCAAAACATGCAATTCTACGCATGTGAAAGCCGGATGTTTTGAAAGCTACCTCCCACTATTTAAAATTCTCACAAAAATTTATTCTATTTTTTTTTTTTCATTTAATGCTAAGATAAGAATCTACTTTATACAAATAAAAACAAAAAAGATGCAATTTTCATGTAGACTTCCTATAAATAGCAGGCAAATCCCTACCTGTCATGCTTCTCTCTGGGAAAAGCTCCCTGGATTAGTGGATTTAATACAAAATTGTGTTTAGCTACCTTAAGAAAAGGTTTGTAAAATCAAGGATGCGTCTTATTCACAAACATGGGAAGAAATTCTGTGGATTTTCTCCGGTTTAGCTTTAGACTGAATTCAATCAAAGCGCAATTAACGCTAATCTTTATATTACCCATGAGAGTGATGCGAGACAAATGATGTCAGCAGTGTTGAAGGAAGGATCCAAAAGCTTTTTACAGATTTCAAATTTTATTTTCAGAGAACAAAATGAGGCCTTTCAATTTCGAGGGCGGGGGGGGGGGGGGGGGCATGATTTCAATATCCTTATCAATGTAAAATAAAAAAGGAAATTAAAATAAATGTTGGAATTTGTAACCCTTAATTTGATGTTAGAAAGTATATTAAGCATGTCACAGGTTATTAAATTTACCCAATTTCATTGACCACGCAAGTAGTGCCCATTTTAAACACAGGACAGGTTTTTTTCAGAAATATATGTCTAAGGATGTATGCGGGGTGAAATGGGCTGATTCACGTGTTTTCAATGTGTTTATAAACATCTCGAGTGCACCCCAGGAAGTAGCCTCCTATGCCCCGGAAAAAATAGTTCCTGTCAAAAACGTTTATTTATTTACAAAGTACATAAAATTTACTAGGCACAGGTACCAAAGTTGTAAACACAGGCTGGAAGAAAATTAAAAAAAATTCTCAAAAGAAAGAAAAATCAACTTGATATGTATGGAACTACACATGACGACATGTAAGTTCATTTTGATTGGTCAATGAACGGTGTGATACCTGAAATATGCAGGGTATGGGGTAAATCGCGGTGTCTGAGAGAGACTTGCACACTATTGATTCTCCTTAGATTCAGAACTATTTTAAGGTTATCATTCAAAAAATCGCTAAATTCCAAGATTAATTTCATTTATTCTAAATAAAAATTAGAATAAATTCCAGATGCAACAAAAAGTAGAAGAAAGCATGGTATAGCAAAATGACTGATCATATTTAAGGAAATGAATGCTATAATTATCAATGACATACGAAGAAAACATTTGTAAAAGTACTTTTTTTTCCTCCTCTCTAAGATTCTGCCATCAATTTTCTCGAATCACTCTTAGGGGAATATCGATGATTAGCGTTTATAGCACTTGCATTGAGTTCGGCTCAAAGAAAAATCGGAAAGGATTTCTTGGGATGTTAAGACTTCAAGACATTTACTTGGCTTTGAATTGGGTCTAATTTAGTCAAATATGTGGATTTTAAAACTGCGTTCGCATAGATAATGCTAACAAGTGAAATTGAAAGCTTTTAATTAAAATGCTCTCCGTTTTTCACGAATTTCCTTCAATCCAAAACATAGAAAACATATATCGTTAAAAAATAAATTCAAAACAAAACTTGCAAAAGTGGGGGGTGGGGGGGGGTGTCCTTTTCAATCTTGTAACAGACTATGACGGTTCTTTTGTTTTCAAGTATCCTTAGTAACGTTAATTCCCGAACTAACAACCAAAGAAAGAAAGTTACTGTTTTAATTTGCTTCTAGTATTATAGTTCATCTTGCAAAGAAAAAAAAACGTCAATTAACGGATAGAAGGACTTCTACAGAATATCAATTGTAATATCATATATGAGAATAAAATAAAAATATGATTCCCCAACCTAGCTCAAAACCAAACTGAACAATGAAATTGAAATTTTTCGAAATAATCATTAACAATCCCATAGATTCGTGAATAGAGTGAGATTTCAGTCTGTCTTTACAGCAGTTGTCAGTCTACAACATTATTTAAAGTGTGATCCGTTCTAGTATACCGATCCGATGTATTTTTATAGTATGCATGGTAACTGTATATTTCATTGTTTCAAAGTACAGTGTCACAAACTCATAAACATGTGATATATATGCTAGTTATCGAAACTCTGCCTCTAAAACTCAAAAGACAAGTTTTAAATTAACTGTTCGAAGTATTTTTGAAAAGGATGTCAGAGGTAACTTTAACGCTGTCATTTTTTTTAGAAAACGACAAACAGTGAATATTCTAAATAGCACAGACTTAGCTCATAAATATCACGTAAAATAAGCTGTATATCGGCTCCATGAACTTTTTTGAAAAGTAGGTCAAAGGTCAAGCTCAAAGATTATGACGTTGGTAACCATGATATTTACAAAAGCCATACTGCCAAGCTATATATGTGAAAAATATTAAATCCATATCTTTTAACGTTAAAGGTGTGACAGACGGACAGACAAACAGCTATAGACGGACAAACAGACAGACACCGGGTAAAGTGATCCCTAAGTGTTGCTCTGCAGGCGACATAAAAATATGGTTAATCGTTTTGTTTGTTTGGTTTTTGTTTAACGTCCATCTCGAGATTTTTTCACTCATACGGAGACGCCACCACTTACCGTTGGAGGGCTGCAATTTTAGGACTATACTCGGCACTCAGGGCCATTGAGCAGTGTGGGATCTTTTTTGCGAAAGGGACCTCGGTTAATTGATAACTTGATACGGTCTAATACGAAGGACCGGTCTCCATGCACGTCCAGCAGCGGAATTCGAACCAGAAACATGAGGATCTACTTCTTACTCCGCAACTCTAGAGCAAACGCTATAACCAATGCACCACGCGGTTGACTGGTTAATCGTATTCTTGATAATTTAATGTGTGTTTTTCTATCTAAATATTTTAATGTGAAAAAAACACTATCGTTTAATTTTGAAAAATTCTTCATGTAACTGGCTGCCAAAATAATTTTGAGAGTTTTTTAAACGACCCGTTCTTTCAGACTTCAGACGAAAATAGAAATTTACAAATGCACACAGAAAAATCCAAGCTGAAAAATAGATTTTTTGCTTTTAAAATTTTATTTATAAATCATAGTTTGTTACAAACTCAAAACTTAAAAGCGCATTGAAATATAGATGTATATAAATGTATCTGAGTGTGAAATACATTATTCGGAAAACAGGAGGAATAACTCAACCAAGGGGAGGAAAAACACACATCTCCTACATTTTTATGCCCCCGTATCGAATATTCGGGGTATATAGATTTTGCCCTGTCCGTCCGTCTGTCTGTCTGTCTGTCTGTCTGTTTTTCCGCAAAAACTTTAACCTTGCCCATAACTTTTGATTGGTTGGAGCTATGGCTTTCATATTTCACATGTGTATTCCTTGTGACAAGCAGTAATCTACAAATATTTGAACCTTTTAACAAATGATTTTCAAAACTGAATACAGTTGAGTTAAATTCGATTTAAAAACATCAGAAACTTGATAACAATGTTAAATGTTTATCTTTTAACTTTAGAAAGCAACACAAGACTGTTAAAACACCCCCCTTCTCAGCCATTCAATTATAGCGTGGAAGACTGTCATGCACAACAATTGCAACTTGATTTCCACGATGCAATAGGTTCATCAATCTCGAGATCTGAGCGAAAAAAATATTCGTTGCCATTTTTAAATGTCCGTTTTTCAGATGACGAAGTCGAATTTTCTCTAACATAGCGCAGTGTAGTAACACTTGGACTTTCGGTCCACAGACTATCATTCATGCTAATAATACGTATGAGCCTGTTGAGGCGTGTTGTTGTGCATTTTTGCATCTGCAATTCTCCACCACCTTTATTTTCAGATTTTCCAGCTAGAGCATTTGAAATGCATACTTAAGTCATTTTCGGGAAGCCTTGGCATCACTTTCAGAAACGAAAGAAGAATTTATTTTGCGGAATATTGCTGCATTTCTTATGATAAACAGATACAAACCCTTCAAATGCCATATTTTTGTCAAATGTTTTGTTAAACATGCAATTTTTGATTTCTGTTAAGCGGGCTCAAACAACTTCCGATTATGGCATGAAAATCATTGAACCGTTAAATTATCGATACTTACAAAGTTGAAAATATCCGTACTTTTTAGATAAAAAATTATATCCTTTATATAATTTTCCCCTCTAAAAAAGGATGTTGCGTTTCTTTTGCGTTTCAGTATTTATATTTGCATAATTATAACAATACGAATGATACAGGGTGTTTCATAATATATGTTACATTTTGAATCTTCAATTTGACAAACACAGGAAAAAAATACAGACAAGTGTTTTTTTCAATTTGATGCATGTATCCCTAGATTCATTATGTACAATTACCAACTAAAATATTAAACACTTGAAGAAAACTCCAACATTAATGAAAATTAGCGAAATTTCTAATTTACGTCATTTTTGTTACGTTGAATGTCACAACGTCAATAGCCCACATTACATGTTCTAAATGATCTCCACTATTTTAACTACAAATAAAAGTTGCTTCTTGAAATTTGTATGACCCTGTCACACATTTTTGCTTAGACACTCCTTATTTGAAGATTTATGTTCTTTTTGAGCTCATTTAGTATCTGTGGTCTAGGATTGCAGACCCTGTTTCTAAAGAACCCCTACAGAGAAATGCCCAAAGATTGAGATTGGCAAATGCAGAGGTCAAACTCTTTCCTTGGGGTATTGCATTAGGCCACTTAAATAAAATGTTTTGTTCGTCCGACCCGCGCGCTCGTATTTAAGCAAAACTATACAAATAATATCAATTTCAATTTCCCACACCATGGAAATTCTGTGCTTTTTTCTATTCCATTTCCGCTCTATTTTTCGAATTTTAAATCTGCTTACTCTGCAAATCAGAAAAAAATATAATTGTCCGCTCAAATTTTTTCACCCTCCGTCTAATATTTTTGCCTACAAAAAAGCAATAATATTATTTAACCACTTGCCCACTTGTACTTTTTTCATCAAATGTCCGACGAACAAGAAATTAAATTGGTGTGGCCTTATTGAAAATTTGTACGCTGATAACTTCATCTCATATTTCAAAGTTCAATATTAGCTGGGAATGCTGATATTGCCAGCATAAATTTCTAAAACATCCATCTGACACTTTTCTCAGAGGTTTGCTAAACTAGGAGTCTCCACTTCACCAATTAAATCTTCGGTTCTTGAAGTTCGTAGGCTTTCTTGAGTACCCTGCCCGTCCATGTCCTTTAACCTTGTTACTAGCCTTTTTATAAGCATCCCAGAAAGCTTCCATTCTTTTGGAATATTTCCTACATCAACTTCTGAATGAATATTGGCGACATGTATTGAAAAATTGCTTTACAATTCAACAATATGTTGATAAGTTTAGTCTATTTCGAAAAATATTCAAATTATGACATCAGCATAAATGTTACAATTACTAGTAATCATTGTAATACCACGATTTCCATGACTTTTTCATACGGAACAAAAATGCAGGATTTGATGTTTAAAATGATATGTAGTTTGTACTAGAAATATGACGGGTAAGAAAAATAATTAAATTTAAAAATGTAACATATATATATTATGAAATTCACTGACAGTTTTAACGGGGGAAACGGCAGTGTATCATGAAGATTTTAAGATTTAAAAAAAAAATTCCGTGGAACGTTCCCGTGTACAGTTTATGGAATTAAGGGACAATATTTCGTTTTTACTTTTTATCGAAAAGTAGGAGGTGATGTAAATACGCAAATCATCAAGGATAGGATTTCATAAACATAGAAAAACAATAATAGAAGCCAACATTTTTTTTTCCACGTTGCATTCTACTATACTCCATCCGGATTAATGGCGTCCGGATACTTGGTCTCCATGCCACTACATATGTAATACCTATCTCAATGATTGTTGAGTTTATTGGTTGTGAAATTTTGGATTTTTAAAAAAAAATTTTGACAAATGTTATTTATGCAATATAGGATTGTTATTACAGATACAAATTTTACATTCCGTGTATTCTGCTTATAAAATGTGTGGAAAGCTACGGCATTCAAAAACACCATATAACGTACGCTAACGCGCGTTACACCATTTGTTTTCACATGCCGTTGCAGTTATGAGGCTAAGCATTAAATTATTATTTTTGAAAGATGGTAACAAATCTGTCTCCGTGCAGCATTGGTGGAGGGTACTTAGACACTATGCACTTTTTATTTATGTTGAAAATATCGTAGGTAGATTATATCTTTTTAATTCTATAAAAACATGCAGTTCTCTTCACCACCATATTTCAATTTTCAAAGTATGTTTTAGTTCTCTTAATTTGTACGTATACGGTGAAAGGACTATTTTTACTTAAGTTAATACACTTAGCTCTGTGATCTAAATTTAATTTGCGGGGGAGTAGATGTCATGTAAGACTGGAGAAAAGCGTACAGATAGATTAAAATCAAACGTGAACCGAGCACCACTTGAGATGCAAGATGGCAACTGTCATACCTTCACTCTTTTTATATACAGTAAAATGATATTTTTAAAAAGTTCTAATTTCAGTGATTTTTTTTTAAATATTAATGAGAGTATTCAGACACACCAAGAAAAACACATGATACACAAAATACACCATCCAGAAACTAAGCGCCCATGGTAGAAAGATCTATTCTTCAGCAAAATCAAGGTATTATATGCTTAATATATTCATAATATAATATATTGTAGACATATTTTTAGAGAAATTGACAGAATTTAAAGATTTCAATAATCAATTTCAGGACACCTAATTCTGTTTTTTTTTCCTGACACGGGATGTTAAAAAACCAAAGCGCACGCGGACGCTAAACATAGAAAAAAAATTAGAATGGCCTTAACCTTGTTGAAAAAGGCATGCATAAATGATAGAGTGCAAGGAACCTTACAGTGTATATATATAATCTTACACAATTCTACATATTTTTCTTCTTACCTCGTTTTCTGTAAGCTTTGTTGTCGATGACGTAAATGTCCCAGTGTGGATGGAGGCCTATACAGGATCTCACAATGTCAGGTCTCAGGTATCTCCGGAGCCATGTCACGTGATCTACACTGTCCTGTGATCTTCCTCTGTAATGTACAGCCTCCCCTCCTCTTCTTAGATCCATTAGAAATTCTTCTCTTTTATCTTCACCCTTCTTTAGTATATTAACTGAAACATTTACTGTAGAAAAAAAAATGAATATCGTAAAAAACTCAATACTAGAAATTTATCTTAGATAAAATTAAATAAATATAAATAACATATGTAGGTAAAACTAATCAGGAATGAGTTCGATTTAAATGAACATTACTTTATTAAATTAACAATACTTTTATATGCATCTACAGATTGTAGAATGTGTATGCCTCGTGAAGTATAAATAAAAGGATCAGCATCTAGAGATCATATCATGAAATATATGAATTAAAAAAAAACATCGTTTCAAACACTTTCTAAATTCGGAAATAATTACATTTCTTTACACTGACTTACATATCTGGTGTATGTCATCATATATAGTCGTGTCCTCCATGGTGACGTGAGTCAGTATGTTCATCTGTAGACGGCGTATCAGTGAGTAATCAGAGTAACCAGCAAGCAGTAAGTCATCAGAGTTACCAGTACTCATTCCGTAATGAGAGGAAGGACCACCACAGAAACACTTCTCTCCAGGTTTACTGTTGTATCTCTCTGATCTCAGGTACACACTGGCTGTGTCATAACTACTGTAATAGAATGGTATATGATACTTTATTGATGCTATCCTATACATTGTCTCATCCTTTGTGTCCTTCGTTATCTTGTCCTTATCTTCCCAAAGGTAATCACGTGACTTCAGTCTGTCCAGAGTCTGCTGTGCTTCCTCACTTGTTACAGGATTATGTTTACGGCACACTATCCGTCGTATCTCTTTAAGCAAGCCCAGCAACTCTGTGTTACTGAAGTCAGGAGGACCGGAGTCAAAACACAGAAAACAAAATAACACACACACCTCGTCATCAGTCAGTTTGGAGACCTCATCTAAAAAAAATGTTAAAAATTATGATCAACAAGCATTCTGAGAGTACTGCAGTAGCAATACTAGTCTCTTACCGGCAAGTGTAAATTGGTTCCCGTTAAAAATTAAAAATGTCATAATTCCGTCAAAAATCAATGAAATGGAACGAAATCAAGGTAAAATCACATGCCAAAAATCAGCTCAATATCTGCAAGCGTTTAGAAAAAAAAAAAAAATCCTAAATAATTAAAATGGCCTAATTCCGTAAAAAATCATTGAAGCAGAATTAAATTCAAACATGATCTGTAACTCATCAAGATAATCTCACTTAAAACATTGTTGTGACGTCATGCCTTTGTTCTTGCAGTCTAAAAATTTACCTGTAGCCGTCCGATAATAATAATTAGCAGTCCAATAATATATTATCGGACGGCAGTGATAACAAAATCGGACAGTAGTTAAAAAACAACAAGTAGAGTGAAATCAAGGTTTAATTTGTCCAGAAACCAAAAAAAAGTTAGGGAGAAAAAATTAAGGTAAAGCGAATGCGAGGAAATTAAGTTGTTAAAAATAGCAAATCCAAGAAGAAACTGGAGTTTTAACCTCCCTCAAAAGTAACACTTTCCATTCGGTTTTTTGCAAAGCATTTTCGATACAGCACTGTGAATAAGCCAATTTAAATCCATTTCTGATAAAGAACCAGTCTGCGAATCTCTTCATTTAACGAGGTTTGTTCGCCAATGACCGCACTTTTAAACCCAAGATTTTCATATCATCCAATCAAAATTTTCAAATAAAAATCCGCATTTTTACTTTAAATGCATTTTGAAGATATCATCCAACACTGTATCTGTATCAATGTCAAACGCACTTAATAAAAAAATATTCCGAATCATAAAAAAATCCTTCATCACCTAACCACTGTCCATAGTTCCTGCTAAGCCAAACGACTGCCATTGAATGAATGAAACAAAAGAGTTCACTCACTGATTTCACTGTCTAAAGAAAAAAAAAACTTTCTCTTTTCTTTTGTGTACTTATTAGATGGTTTCAGGTAGAAAACTATTGACGCCTGAACTCCTATTGTGTAATTATCGGACTCCTTCAGGTAACTTTTGGACATTTAAATAGCAATGTTTTAAGTAAGATATATGCCTCATACAATTCTATATGTAAAATTATCAGACTGTTTTCGGCCCTAACGGGCCTCAAACAGTCTGATAATTTTACATATAGAACAGTATTCGGCATATATCCATTACATACGTAATATCAGCTCATTATTTGTAAGCGTTTAGAAAAAAGTGCGGAATACCAAGTGAGACAGATAGACAGCTGGACAGTCGGACGGACAGACGCGGAGGCAACCTAAAGTCCCCTCCTGTTTCACCGGTAGGAAACTAATAAGTATGTTCCCAAGTTTAAGGCATTTTCAAATTGTAATTTATAATTGAAGACTTTAATATTTTTTTTTCTATTCAGCGCACATGTATTTTATAATTTCAAGGTGTTCATTTTGTATAAAAGGAATGTTTCTACAACATAAAATTGCTTCAAAAAGTGATATAAGAGAATGGCATTACTGTAAAGACAAGACAAAATAGAGGAGTGATTTTTTTCTTCAATAATCCTTGCCTCAAGTCAATGTCCAACATTTTATATCAACATTATTTTTGTAAGCCGTTATTTCTGAATTTAAAAAGGGCCTATGTATACATGTAAATATGATCTGAATATAACAGGTTTCACTTAAAGGTCATACGAAACGGTTCTTACAATTGGATATTACTTTTTAAACATAAAGCACGCCCGTAGGAAGCGATTTCATTTGGGGGGCACATACCATAGATTTTCAGGGGGGGGGGGGCACTAGCAACTACCAAAAGTTTCTTGACAAGCAAAAAGAACAAAGGGTCATCAGACGTTATTATTGAGGGAGCACAAGCACATGACATATGGTAGCTATGTTTTCTATAGCATTCTATATATCGGCAAAATTCCCCCCCCCCCCTTCCGGTTTCTTAGCCATATAAAGACTGGTATTAAAGAGTGTCAACTTACTTTTAGAAAAAAAAATTGCCTTTGCTTAATTGAAATTTGTTATCCGCTTATAGTTCTTGATGTTGAGGTTTTATGACGTCACAAAGACCATTTATGTAAATAACGCATTAGACCCAATGTAATTTTGCCGTACTTTTGTCCCCGCTTTTACTGAAAGTGGGGGATATTTATTTGAGTCTGTCTGTTCGTCCGTTCGTCCGTCTGTCCGTCCGTCCGTTTGTCTGTATTTCTGTCTTTCTGTAACACTTTAAAAGGTCAAAGGTCAAGGTCATAAATTCATAAATTCTGTTTTAACACTTTCGTTTCTGCGCGGTATCTCGGGAATCCTTTGAGCTTTTGCAATGAAATTTTACATAGCAACTCCCTGTGGCCTAAGGAAGGCTCCTATTGATATTGTGGTGAAAAAGTCAAAGTTCAAGGTCGTAAATTCATACAATCTGTCTGTGTCTAACACTTTCGTTTCCGGGCTATATCTCAATAAGCTTTTGAGCTTTTGCAATGAAATTGTATACCATAATTAACTCCCTATGGCCTCTCTCGCCCCTCTCAAAGTGTTCCGCCCCGTTTTTTTTTTAATTTATTGTATTAAAAGTCGCTTGGCACCATTTTTAGCACGGGGCATGTGGAGAGTTATTACATATAAAACAGGTTGTCGGCGGACTTTACATTCTAATTACATCTATTAGAACTGTTTAGTAAAGGCTAAATTAGACAGCATGTATTGTGTAAAATTTTGACAATATCGAACATGAATATAAACATTATATGTGACCCAATGTTTGCATTTTATTTCCTGTATAATCAAGTGCCTCAGTGGTCTGGGGGTATGATTCTTGCTTAACAAATGAGAGGTCTCGGGTTCAAATCCCGGACGATCCCATTTTTTTCAATTTTTTTCAATTTATTTATTTATTTATTTATTTTTTTTTGGGGGGGGGGGGGGTTACTAAATGATAGTATTCAACATGTGAAATGAAAAAAAAGTTGTGAATCTGGCCTGTACAAACTCATAAAATCATTATTACAGTGTGATAAATATTCTATATAAAAAGAATCATCTATACACAGATTAAAGAATAAGCAATCAAATCTTTATATCCATAATGACATTTTTTATTTGCTTCAATATACATGTATACATTTAATAATTCTACAAATCCAGGGGGAGGTCCGACCCCTCCCCCCCCCCCCTTGAACTGCGCATGCTCTTTTTTCCATTAGCGGGGGACACAAATTCTCTGAATTAGCCTGTATTTCTTGTATTGAGTAAATTTTAGTCATTTTTGTGGATATAAACGTGATTATGTTTTCATATGAGTTATCTGATTCTAAAGTACAGTCAGCTTTGTTTGAATTTAATCGTTAGTTAGGCACAGCAACTGAAAACGAGAGCTTTTCACAGTAGGATAATAATGCTGAATACCCAATAGAATTCAGGATTTTTTCCCCTCCAGTTTTTATATGATCTCTTAGTTTAAATTTATACTTTAGAAACAAAAATATTCTTATTTCTGTTTGATACATATATGATCAGTGCCAAAAGGATTTCAGTTAAGATACATGACGTTATTGATATGCAATATGATTTTTTTTTAATTCCAAGTGAAGTTGTATAATTTACAATAAAAAAAAAAATCAGCGTAATTTATTAACATTGACCTGAATCTTCTTACAATGAAAATTTAAATAGAACTATAAAATTGTGTAAAATAAAGATGTGATATATATTGAGCGGGAAAAATACCCAGCTCAAGAGTAACACCCCCACCTCCCCCTCCCACCCACCCCCATCCCCAAATAGAAGTTCATGATAAACGTGGATCGATGATAAATGTCGGCGCATTTGGATGCGCTCTGTCTGCAATCTGAAACTCGAGGATTGATTTAAAAGCGATATAGAAAAAGAATACCCGAATTTCTGATAACATCATCGTAATTTTGCAGTCACAAGAAATATGATTTTAAAAATATGGTTCGCTTAATGTCGGACCTTCTATATCAGTCATTACGATAATATAGTTACAGTGTATATACTGATTTTTTGGCAAGGGAAAAAAATCGTGTATGTAGTCAATAAAATGGGACATGAATTTATTCACTATAGATATTTCACAGAAATATTTCTTTATTTAAACCTAAAAGTTACTTTTTCTTACATGCACATGTATCTTATACTAACTAGCATTTAAGTATATGTGTACATTTGTCTAAGTTTTTGATTTAAACACACACTCTCACACACACTCTCTCTCTCTCTCTCTCTCTCTCTCTCTCTCTCTCTCTCTCTCTCTCACACACACACACACATACACACACACACACACTCACACACACACACGCAATCACTGCGAGTTTTTCGAGAAAAGAGATTATTTTCAAGAACTTGCACAAAAATGGGAAAATGCGAGAGAGAGAGAGAGAGAGAGAGAGAGAGAGAGAGAGGGTCTGTGCCCGAGTAAGTGAATGTAGAAGTTGTCAAATAATTTACAATTGGATTAATTTCTAACACAAGAATACTGATTTGTTTTCTGAATAAAAATTTTAAGCCATGGTGCTATATATCCACAGTAGCACATGCATAAATTATAAGTAAAGCCGATTGACTGCGGTCTCTCTCTCTCTTTCTCTCTCTCTCTCTCTCGATTGAAGTGTTGAAATTGCACAGATAAAACATACTAAAATCTTTAATATATGCAATGAGATGTTAAAAAAAAACCCCAAGTACTAGCATGTTTGAACATCGTGTGATTATGTTATAATAATTATGTTATAATTATATTTCTTAAAATTACGCTGCAAAATATAACATGATCGTTTCTGAAAATATAAGAACACTGCGCAGATCATCGTCGCAAGCCACGGGTTTTGTGTCCATTCTATTTCCACAAACCCGTGGCTGCCTCCTACCAAATTCTCTGGTTCTCGCGACTGAATCATTGAATATTTATTAAGTGACGCCAGA